CCCTCCTCCATTCATCATATAATCTGTGATATCCGGACCTTGTCCCCCTCCATTCCATTCATCATATAAATCTGTGATATCCGGACCTTGTCCCCTTGTCCCCCCCTCCATTCATCATATAATCTGTGATATCGGACCTTGTCCCCCCCTCCATTCATCATATAATCTGTGATATCCGGACCTTTGTCCCCTCCTCCATTCATCATAATAATCTGTGATATCCGGACCTTGTCCCCCCTCCTCCATTCATCATATAATCTGTGATATCGGACCTTGTCCCCCCTCCTCCATTCATCATATAATCTGTGATATCCGGACCTTGTCCCCCCTCCTCCATTCATCATATAATCTGTGATATCCGGACCTTGTCCCCCCTCCTCCATTCATCATATAATCTGTGATATCCGGACCTTGTCCCCTCCTCCTCCATTCATCATATATAATCTGTGATATCCGGACCTTGTCCCCCTCCTCCTCCATTCATCATATAATCTGTGATATCCGGACCTTGTCCCCCCCTCCATTCATCATATAATCTGTGATATCCGGACCTTGTCCCCCCTCCTCCATTCATCATATAATCTGTGATATCCGGACCTTGTCCCCCCTCCCTCCATTCATCATATAATCTGTGATATCCGGACCTTGTCCCCTCCTCCATTCATCATATAATCTGTGATATCCGGACCTTGTCCCCTCCTCCATTCATCATATAACCCCCGGACCTCCCCCTCCTCCATTCATCATATAACAATCTGTGATATCCGGACCTTGTCCCCCCTCCTCCATTCATCATATAATCTGTGATATCCGGGACCTTGTCCCCCCTCCTCCATTCATCATATAATCTGTGATATCCGGACCTTGTCCCCCCTCCTCCATTCATCATCATATAATCTGTGATATCCGGACCTTGTCCCCCTCCTCCATTCATCATATAATCTGTGATATCCGGACCTTGTCCCCCCTCCTCCATTCATCATATAATCTGTGATATCCGGACCTTGTCCCCCCTCCTCCATTCATCATATAATCTGTGATATCCGGACCTTGTCCCCTCCTCCTCCATTCATCATATAATCTGTGATATCCGGACCTTGTCCCCCTCCTCCATTCATCATATAATCTGTGATATCCGGACCTTGTCCCCCCCCCTCCATTCATCATATAATCTGTGATATCCGGACCTTGTCCCCCCCTCCATTCATCATATAATCTGTGATATCCGGACCTTGTCCCCTCCTCCATTCATCATATAACAATCTGTGATATCCGGACCTTGTCCCCTCCCTCCTCCATTCATCATATAATCTGTGATATCCGGACCTTGTCCCCCCCTCCTCCATTCATCATATAACAATCTGTGATATCCGGACCTTGTCCCCTCCTCCATTCATCATATAATCTGTGATATCCGGACCTTGTCCCCTCCTCCATTCATCATATAATCTGTGATATCCGGACCTTGTCCCCTCCTCCATTCATCATATAATCTGTGATATCCGGACCTTGTCCCCCCTCCTCCATTCATCATATAATCTGTGATATCCGGACCTTGTCCCCCCTCCATTCCCCTCCTCCATTCATCATATAATCTGTGATATCCGGACCTTGTCCCCTCCCTCCATTCATCATATAATCTGTGATATCCGGACCTTGTCCCCCCCTCCTCCTCCATTCATCATATAATCTGTGATATCCGGACCTTGTCCCCCCCCTCCTCCATTCATCATATAATCTGTGATATCCGGACCTTGTCCCCCCCTCCATTCATCATATAATCTGTGATATCCGGACCTTGTCCCCCCTCCTCCATTCCATTCATCATATAATCTGTGATATCCGGACCTTGTCCCCTCCTCCATTCATCATATAACAATCTGTGATATCCGGACCTTGTCCCCCCTCCTCCATTCATCATATAATCTGTGATATCCGGACCTTGTCCCCCCTCCTCCATTCATCATATAATCTGTGATATCCGGACCTTGTCCCCCCATTCATCATATAATCTCCATTCATCATATAATCTGTGATATCCGGACCTTGTCCCCCTCCTCCATTCATCATATAATCTGTGATATCCGGACCTTGTCCCCCCTCCTCCATTCATCATATAACAATCTGTGATATCCGGACCTTGTCCCCCCCTCCTCCATTCATCATATAATATCTGTGATATCCGGACCTTGTCCCCCCTCCTCCATTCATCATATAATCTGTGATATCCGGACCTTGTCCCCCCCCTCCATTCATCATATAATCTGTGATATCCGGACCTTGTCCCCCCTCCTCCATTCATCATATAATTTGTGATATCTGGACCTTGTCCCCTTCCTCCATTCATCATATAATCTGTGATATCCGGACCTTGTCCCCCCTCCTCCATTCATCATATAATCCTGTGATATCCGGACCTTGTCCCCCCTCCATTCATCATATAATCTGTGATATCCGGACCTTGTCCCCCCTCCTCCATTCATCATATAATCTGTGATATCTGGACCTTGTCCCCCTCTCCATTCATCATATAATCTGTGATATATGGACCTTGTCCCCCCTCCTCCATTCATCATATAACAATCTGTGATATCCGGACCTTGTCCCCTCCTCCCATTCATCATATAATCTGTGATATCCGGACCTTGTCCCCCCTCCTCCATTCATCATATAATCTGTGATATCCGGACCTTGTCCCCCCTCCTCCATTCATCATATAATCTGTGATATCCGGACCTTGTCCCCCCTCCTCCATTCATCATATAATCTGTGATATCCGGACCTTGTCCCCCTCCTCCATTCATCATATAACAATCTGTGATATCCGGACCTTGTCCCCTCCTCCATTCATCATATAATCTGTGATATCCGGACCTTGTCCCCCCCTCCTTCATTCATCATATAATCTGTGATATCCGGACCTTGTCCCCCCTCCTCCATTCATCATCATATAATCTGTGATATCCGGACCTTGTCCCCCCTCCTTCATTCATCATATAATCTGTGATATCCGGACCTTGTCCCCCCTCCTCCATTCATCATATAATCTGTGATATCCGGACCTTGTCCCCTCCTCCATTCATCATATAATCTGTGATATCCGGACCTTGTCCCCCCTCCATTCATCATATAATCTGTGATATCCGGACCTTGTCCCCTCCTCCATTCATCATATAATCTGTGATATCCGGACCTTGTCCCCCCTCCTCCATTCATCATATAATCTGTGATATCCGGACCTTGTCCCCCCTCCATTCATCATATAATCTGTGATATCCGGACCTTGTCCCCCCCTTTCATCATATAATCTGTAATATCCGGACCTTGTCCCCTCCTCCATTCATCATGTATCTGTGACACGCCCCCTTGTAGCTGTGACACGCCCCCTGTGTCTTTGACATGCCCCCTTGTAGTTGTGACACGCCCCCTTTGTGACGCCCCCTGTAGCTATGACACGCCCCCTTTTTATCTGTAACACTTCCCCTGTATCTGTGACACGCCCCCTGTATCTGTGACACGCCCCCTGTATCTGTGACACGCCCCCTGTATCTGTGACACGCCCCCCCCTTGTATCTGTAACACACTCCCCTTGTAGCTGATACACTCTCCCTGTAGCTGATACACGCCCCCTGTAGCTGTGACACGCCCCCTGTAGCTGTGACACGCCCCCTGTAGCTGATACACTCCCCTTTAGCTGTGACACGCCCCCTGTAGCTGATACAGTCCCCTTTAGCTGTGACACGCGCCCCCTGTAGCTGATACACTCCCCTTTAGCTGTGACACGCCCCCTGTAGCTGATACACTCCCCTTTAGCTGTGACACGCCCCCTGTAGCTGATACACTCCCCTTTAGCTGTGACACGCCCCCTGTAGCTTTGACGCCCCCTGTATCTCTGACACGCCCCCTGTAGCTGATACACTCCCCTTTAGCTGTGACACGCCCCCTGTAGCTGATACAGTCCCCTTTAGCTGTGACACGCCCCCTGTAGCTCTGACACGCCCCCTGTAGCTGATACACTCCCCTTTAGCTGTGACACGCCCCCCTGTAGCTGATACACTCCCCTTTAGCTGTGACACGCCCCCTGTAGCTTTGACACGCCCCCTGTAGCTGATACACTCCCCTTTAGCTGTGACACCCCCCTGTAGATGATACACTCCCCTTTAGCTGTGACACGCCCCCTGTAGATGATACACTCCCCTTTAGCTGTGACACGCCCTCTGTAGCTGATACCCCCCCCCCGTAGCTGTGACACGCCCCCTGTAGCTGATACGCTCCCCCTGTAGCTGTGACACACCCCCTGTAGCTGTGACACTCCCCCCTGTAGCTGATACGCTCCCCCTGTAGCTGTGACACGCCCCCCTGTAGCTGTGACATGCCCCCTGTAGCTGATACACTCCCCCTATAGCTGTGACACGCCCCCTGTAGCTGATACATTCCCCTTTAGCTGTGACACGCCCCCTGTAGCTGTGACACGCCCCATGTAGCTGATACATTCCCCTTTAGCTGTGACACGCCCCCTGTAGCTGTGACACACCCCCTGTAACTGTGACACGCCCCCTTTAGCTGATACATTCCCCTTTAGCTGTGACACACCCCCTGTAACTGTGACACGCCCCCTTTAGCTGATACATTCCCCTTTAGCTGTGACACGCCCCCTGTAGCTGATACATTCCCCTTTAGCTGTGACACGCCCCCTGTAGCTGATACATTCCCCTTTAGCTGTGGCACGCCCCCTGTAGCTGATACACTCCCCTTTAGCTGTGACACGCCCCCTGTAGCTGTGACACGCCCCCTGTAGCTGTGACACGCCCCCTGTAGCTGATACATTCCCCTTTAGCTGTGACACGCCCCCTGTAGCTGTGACACACCCCCCTGTAACTGTGACACGCCCCCTTTAGCTGATACATTCCCCTTTAGCTGTGACATGCCCCCTGTAGCTGATACACTCCCCTTTAGCTGTGACACGCCCCCTGTAGCTGATACACTCCCCTTTAGCTGTGACACGCCCCCTGTAGCTGTGACACGCCCCCTGTAGCTGTGACACGCCCCCTGTAGCTGATACATTCCCCTTTAGCTGTGACACGCCCCCTGTAGCTGATACACTCCCCTTTAGCTGTGACACGCCCCCTGTAGCTGATACACTCCCCTTTAGCTGTGACACGCCCCCTGTAGCTGATACGCTCCCCCTGTCCTGCTGTGCACCATGTGATGGGTGTGGTGTTTCCTCCTCAGGGTCACATGATGTGCGTCTCCTGACATTGCTGCACAGGGATGTGGAGGTGGGCGGGCGGGGCTCTGCGGTCGGTGTGTGCGCTCTGCGACTCTGTGCTGGAGGTGAGCGGGGGAGGAGCGCGGCTCGGGGTCACCATCACCAACCGCAAGACTTCCGGGAAGGTTGTCACCACAGTGAGTCTGACCGGGGGGGGGCAACAGGGGGACAAATGGGGGGCATGGAGGGGCAAGAGGACCGGAGGGCAGGGGGAACGAGGGGGGGGGCATGGAGGGGGAACAGGGGGATAGAGGGGGGCATGGGGGGGTGAGGGGATTGGGGGGGACAGAGGGGGGGCATGGGGGGGGGGAACGGGGGTGAGGGGATTGGGGGGACAGGGGGGGGGGGGGGGGACAGAGGGGGGGCATGGGGGGGAACAGGGGGACAGAGGGGGGCAAGGGGGGGTGATGGGGATTGGGGGGCAGGGGGACAGAGGGGGGGCATGGAGGTGGCAAGAGGGACCCGGGGGGAGCAGGGGGAACGAGGGGGGGGGCATGGAGGGGGAACGAGGGGACAGAGGGGGGGCAGGGGAGGGTGAGGGGATTGGGGGGGGCAGGGGGGCATGGGGGGGACAGAGGGGGAGCATGGAGGTGGCAAATGGATCTGGGGGGAGAGCAGGGGGAATGAGGGGGGGGGCATGGAGGGGGGGGGGTTGGGGGGTATGGAGCACTGTTGGGGAATGGGGGGGGGGTGTGGAGGGGGGGGGTCATAATTGCAGACTGTCCTCCATCTCCCCAGAGAGAAGAAGGGGGGGGGGGGGGGGGACTCACAGATTCGGTTCCATGGCAGACGGAGCGCATTGTGTAATCATCATCAGTGCGATAACTCTGAGCAGCGCTCCGTCCGCCATGGAACCGCATCTGTGAGTCCCCCCGACGCTCCCTGACCCCCCCCCCTTCTCCCTGACCCCCCTCTTCTCCCTGACCCCCCTCTTCTCTGCATCCTTTCTGGTTACCGGGCAGAAACCACATACTGGGCATTACAGCTCTACCCTCTTATTCCTTGTATCCTCCATCCCCCCCTGCTGGAGACGTGTGGTATTACCGCTCCTCCCCCTGCTGGACACGTGTGGTATTACCGCTCCTCCCCCTCTGGAGACGTGTGGTATTACCGCTCCTCCCCCTGCTGGACACGTGTGGTATTACCGCTCCTCCCCCTGCTGGACACGTGTGGTATTACCGCTCCTCCCCCTGCTGGACACGTGTGGTATTACCGCTCCTCCCCCCCCGCTGAAGACATATGGTATTACCGCTCCTCCCCCCGCTGGACACGTGTGGTATTACCGCTCCTCCCCCCCGCTGGACACGTGTGGTATTACCGCTCCTCCCCCCGCTGCTGGAGACGTATGGTATTACCGCTCCTCCCCCCGCTGGATACGTGTGGTATTACCGCTCCTCCCCCTGCTGGACACGTGTGGTATTACAGCTCCTCCCCCCGCTGGACACGTGTGGTATTACCGCTCCTCCCCCCGCTGGACACGTGTGGTATTACCGCTCCTCCCCCCGCTGGACACGTGTGGTATTACCGCTCCTCCCCCTGCTGGACACGTGTGGTATTACCGCTCCTCCCCCTGCTGCTAGACGTGTGGTATTACCGCTCCTCCCCCTGCTGGAGACGTGTGGTATTACCGCTCCTCCCCCCGCTGGAGACGTGTGGTATTACCGCTCCTCCCCCTGCTGGACACGTGTGGTATTACCGCTCCTCCCCCTGCTGGAGACGTGTGGTATTACCGCTCCTCCCCCTGCTGGAGACGTGTGGTATTACCGCTCCTCCTCCCCCCTGCTGGACACGTGTGGTATTACCGCTCCTCCCCCCCTCTGGGAGACGTGTGGTATTACCGCTCCTCCCCCTGCTGGACACGTGTGGTATTACTGCTCCTCCCCCTGCTGGACACGTGTGGTATTACCGCTCCTCCCCCTGCTGGACACGTGTGGTATTACCGCTCCTCCCCCTCTGGAGACGTGTGGTATTACCGCTCCCTCCCCCCGCTGGACACGTGTGGTATTACCGCTCCTCCCCCTGCTGGACACGTGTGGTATTACCGCTCCTCCCCCTGCTGGACACGTGTGGTATTACCGCTCCTCCCCCTGCTGGACACACGTGTGGTATTACCGCTCCTCCCCCTGCTGGAGACGTGTGGTATTACCGCTCCTCCCCCTGCTGGACACGTGTGGTATTACCGCTCCTCCCCCTCCCTGCTGGACACGTGTGGTATTACCGCTCCTCCCCTTGCTGGACACGTGTGGTATTACCGCTCCTCCCCCCCCTCTGGAGACGTGTGGGTATTACCGCTCCCCCCTGCTGGACACGTGTGGTATATTACCGCTCCTCCCCCTGCTGGACACGTGTGGTATTACCGCTCCTCCCCCCGCTGAAGACATATGGTATTACCGCTCCTCCCCCCGCTGGACACGTGTGGTATTACCGCTCCTCCCCCCGCTGGACACGTGTGGTATTACCGCTCCTCCCCCCGCTGGAGACGTATGGTATTACCGCTCCTCCCCCCGCTGGATACGTGTGGTATTACCGCTCCTCCCCCCGCTGGACACGTGTGGTATTACAGCTCCTCCCCCCGCTGGACACGTGTGGTATTACCGCTCCTCCCCCCCCGCTGGACACGTGTGGTATTACCGCTCCTCCCCCCCCCGCTGGACACGTGTGGTATTACCGCTCCTCCCCCCTGCTGGACACGTGTGGTATTACCGCTCCTCCCCCCCTGGAGACGTGTGGTATTACCGCTCCTCCCCCCTGCTGGAGACGTGTGGTATTACCGCTCCTCCCCCCGCTGGAGACGTGTGGTATTACCCGCTCCTCCCCCCGCCTGGACACGTGTGGTATTACCGCTCCTCCCCCTGCTGGAGACGTATGGTATTACTGCTCCTCCCCCTGCTGGACACGTGTGGTATTTACCGCTCCTCCCCCCCTGCTGGAGACGTGTGGTATTACCGCTCCTCCCCCTGCTGGACACGTGTGGTATTACCGCTCCTCCCCCTGCTGGAGACGTGTGGTATTACCGCTCCTCCCCCCCCCTGCTGGACACGTGTGGTATTACCGCTCCTCCCCCCGCTGGACGCGTTTGGTATCACCGCTCCTCCCCCTGCTGGACACGTGTGGTATTACCGCTCCTCCCCCCTGCTGGACGCGTGTGGTATCACCGCTCCTCCCCCCCCTGGACGCGTGTGGTATTACCGCTCCTCCCCCCGCTGGACGCGTTTGGTATCACCGCTCCTCCCCCTGCTGGACACGTGTGGTATCACCGCTCCTCCCCCTGCTGGACACGTGTGGTATTACCCGCTCCTCCCCCCCCCTGGAGACGTGTGGTATTACCGCTCCCTCCCCCTGCTGGACACGTGTGGTATTACCGCCCCCCCCCGTGAGTCCCAAGGGTGCTGAGTTGGAGTTCCTCATATGCTGGTGTCCTCGGTGTACATTCTCTGCTTCCAGTGATTTCAGGCCACCATGTGTAGGCTTTGGGGCAGATGGGACCCTCAGTGTAGAGACTGGCTGCATATGGGGACCACCATGACACTGAATGCAGATGGCTGTGTCAGGACTGTGCTGGGCAAGGCAACATCATGTGATGGTCCTGATCAGTGTCCCCCGATGTCTGTGTTACAGAAGGAAGTCTTCCGGGTCCTCCAGGACTTCTCCATAGAGACAGAATCCGAGCCACAGAGCAGAACCGAGGTGAGAGGATCTACCCCACAATCCATCCGTGACCCCTCATCCTCCGCCGTGACCCCTCATCCTCCGCCGTGACCCCTCATCCTCCGCCGTGACCCCACATCCTCCCCCATCACCCCTCATCCTCCGCCGTGACCCCCTCATCCTCCCCCATCACCCCTCATCCTCCCCCATCACCCCTCATCCTCCCCCATCACCCCACATCCTCCCCCGTCATCCCCCCCTCATCCTCCGCCGTGACCCCTCATCCTCCGCCGTGACCCCTCATCCTCCCCCATTACCCTTCATCCTCCGTCACCCCTCATCCTCCCCCATCACCCCTCATCCTCCCCCATCACCCCACATCCTCCCCCCATCACCCCTCATCCTCCGCCGTGACCCCTCATCCTCCGCCATGACCCCACATCCTCCCCCATCACCCCTCATCCTCCGCCATGACCCCTCGTCCTCCCCCGTGACACCACATCCTCCCCCATGACCCCTCATCCTCCGCCATCCTCCCCCATGACCCCACATCCTCCTCCGCCATGACCCCTCGTCCTCCCCCGTCCCTCCCTCCGCCGTGACCCCACATCCTCCGCCGTGACCCCCCTCATCCTCCGCCATCCTCCCCCATTGACACTCATCCTCCCCCATCACCCCTCATCCTCATTGATGACCCCTCCTCCTCCGCCATGACCCCTCGTCCTCCCCCCATGACACCTCATCCTCCGCCCATGACCCCATCCTCCTCCCCCCCATGACCCCACATCCTCCGCCATGACCCCTCCGCCAGTCCTCCCCACCATGACTCCTCATGACCTCCCTCCCCCATGGACCCCATCATGACCCCCGTCATCCTCCGTCCCCCCCATCATTCTCCCCCATCACCCCTCATCCTCCGCCATGACCCCACATCCTCCCCCCATCACCCCTCATCCTCCACCGTCCTCCCCCCCATGACCCCTCATCCTCCGCCATCCTCCCCCATGACCCCTCATCCTCCCCCATCACCCCTCATCCTTCATTGTCCTCCCCTCCCCCATGACCCCTCCTCCTCGTCCTCCCCCCATGACTCCTCATCCTCCCCCATGACTCCTCGTCCTCCCCCATGACCCCTCATCCTCCGCCGTGACCCCTCGTCCTCCGTCCCCGCCGTGACCCCTCCTCCCCATCCTCCCCATCCTCCCCCATGACCCTCATCCTCCGCCATCCTCCCCCCCATGACCCCTCATCCTCCGCCACCTCCCCCATGACCCCTCACCCTCCGCCATCCTCCCCCATGACCCCTCATCCTCCCCCCGTGACCCCTCATCCTTCGCCATCCCCCCCTCCCCCATGACCCCTCATCCTCCCCCGTGACCCCTCATCCTCCCAATGACCCCTCATCCTCATCCATGACCCCTCATCCTCCTCTATGACCCCTCATCCTCCGCCATGACCCCCCATCCTCCACCATGACCCCCCATCCTCCACCATGACCCCTCATCCTCATCCTCCCCCCATGACCCCTCATCCTCCGCCATCTCCCCCCATGGCCCCTCATCCTCCCCCATTAACCTTCATCCTCCGCCATCCTCCCCCCTCCTCCCCCCTGACCCCTCATCCTCCCCCATGACCCCTCATCCTCCCCTATGACCCCTCATCCTCCGCCATGACCCCATCATCCTCCTCTATGACCCCTCATCCTCCTCTATGACCCCTCATCCTCCCCCATGACCCCTCATCTTCCCCCATGACCCCCCCCATCATCTCCACCATGACTCCTCATCCTCCCCCCATGACCCCTCATCCTCCCCCATGACCCCTCATCCTCCGCCATCCTCCCCCATGGCCCCTCATCCTCCCCCATTAACCTTCATCCTCCGCCATCCTCCCCCATGACCCCTCATCCTCCCCCATCACCCCTCATCTTCCCCCATCACCCCTCATCCTTCACCGTCCTCCGCCCGCCGTGACCCCCACACATCCTCCCCCATCACCCCTCATCCTCCCCCCATGACCGCTCATCCTCCCCCATCACCCACATCCTCCCCCATGACCGCTCATCCTCCCCCATCACCCCTCATCCTCCCCATGACCGCTCATCCTCCCCCATCACCCCTCATCCTCCCCCATGGACCGCTCATCCTCCCCCATCACCCCTCATCCTCCCCCATGACCTCTCATCCTCCCCCATCACCCCTCATCCTCCCCCATGACCCCTCATCCTCCCCCCTATGACCCCACATCCTCCCCCATCACCCCTCATCCTCCGCCGTGACCCCTCATCCTCCGCCGTGACTTCTCATCCTCCGCCATGACCCCACATCCTCCCCCATCACTTCTCATCCTTCGCCATGACCCCTCGTCCTCCCCCCGTGACACCACATCCTCCCCCATGACCCCTCATCCTCCGCCATCCTCCCCCATGACTCCTCATCCTCCCCCATGACCCCTCATCCTCCCCCATGACCCCTCATCCTCCGCCATCACCCCTCATCCTCCGCCATGACCCCTCATCCTCCGCCATCACCCCTCATCCTCCCCCATGACCCCTCATCTTCCCCCATGACCCCCCCATCCTCCACCATGACTCCTCATCCTCCGCCATCCTCCCCCCATAAAACCCCACCCGTCCCTCTTCTTCCTCTATAATAGCCCACTAGCTCCTCCCTCTGGTTGGTTCCTCCTCGTTCATTGTGGCCCTTCCCCAGCCCCAGGATAGCCATCTCTCTGGTTGCTCATCATTTGGTTTCTCTCCCTTCTAGGTGGATCCTTCGGTGAATCTGACATTTAATCTTCATCTTTCTGAGACTGATAGAGAGCAGAAGGAATCTGCGACCCTCCCATACACCTTCAGTGAGAGCAAGTAAGGAGGATTGTGGGGCCCGTCTTCCCTCATATCAGTGTATGTGCCGATCCGACACGAGACCCCCCATCCCCCCTTGTCTTGGTATTCCTCGTGGCGTGGACTCAGCAAATGTTCCTCAAAGAGGACTCTGACCATCAACGCTGGTAATCCACTATACCCCTGGAGGCATCTGCAGGGTGCTCCGGGGTCACCGGGTGACTGGATTCTCGGGGTGCTCCGGGGTCACCGGGTGACTGGATTCTCGGGGTGCTCCGGGGTCACTGGGTGACTGGATTCTCGGGGTGCTCCGGGGTCACTGGGTGACTGGATTTTCGGGGTGCTCTGCGGTCACCGGGTGACTGAATTCTCGGGGTGCTCTGGGGTCACCGGGTGATTGAATTCTCGGGGTGCTCCGGGGTCACTGGGTGACTGGATTCTCGGGGTGCTCCGGGATCACTGGGTGACTGGATTCTCGGGGTGCTCTGGGGTCACTGGGTGACTGGATTCTTGGGGTGCTCTGGGGTCACCTGTTTCTCGGGGTGCTCTGGAGTCACTGGGTGACACTGGCTTCTCGGGGTGCTCTGGGGTCACCTGTTTCTCGGGGTGCTCTGGAGTCACTGGGTGACACTGGCTCCTCGGGGTGCTCTGGGGTCACCTGTTTCTCGGGGTGCTCTGGAGTCACTGGGTGACACTGGATTCTTGGGTGCTCTGGGGTCACTGGGTGACACTGGATTCTCGGGGTGCTCTGGGGTCACTGGGTGACTGGATTCTCAGGGATCTCTTGGGTCACCTGTTTCTTGGGGTGCTCTGGAGTCACTGGGTGACACTGGCTTCTCGGGTGCTTTGGGGTCACTGGGTGACTGCATTCTTGGAGTGCTCTGGAGTCACTGGGTGACACTGGATTCTCGGGGTGCTCTGGAGTCACCTGTTTCTCGGGGTGCTCTGGAGTCACTAGGTGACACTGGCTTCTCGGGGTACTCTGGGGTGACCTGTTGGGGTGGTCTTGAGTCACTGGGTGACACTGGATTCTCAGGGATCTCTTGGGTCACCTGTTTCTTGGGGTGCTCTGGAGTCACTGGGTGACACTGGCTTCTCGGGGTGCTCTGGGGTCACCTGTTTCTTGGGGTGCTCTGGAGTCACTGGGTGACACTGGCTTCTTGGGTGCTCTGGGGTCACTGGGTAACACTGGCTTCTCGGGTGCTCTGGGGTCACCTGTTTCTCGGGGTGCTCTGGGGTCACTGGGTAACACTGGCTTCTCGGGTGCTCTGGGGTCACCTGTTTCTCGGGGTGCTCTGGGGTCACCTGTTTCTCGGGGTGCTCTGGGGTCACTGGGTGACGCTGGCTTCTCGGGGGCTGAAGTCTGGCACAGAGGACACTGGTGAACACTGTGGTAGGAGGGGGATCATCCGAAGCCCAGCGATGGACTTCCAGCCATGTGTCTGTGCTCTGGGTGGAATCCAGAAGTGTTGGAGAAGACCCGGCACTAGATCCCGGAGGAGTTTAGGGTCATAAAGTGGTCCTGATATGGATCCCTCCGCTCTGTCATTAGATCTCTATAACTTCTACAATACACAGGTATGGTCCGCCTCCACCTCTCTTCTTCCAATGGGATGTAAATTTCCTGCCCGTACCACCCGATCCCTCCCTCCCTCCCTCCCCCTCCCCTCCCCCTCCCTCCCTCCCTCCCCCTCCCCCCTCCCCCTCCAGGAATCTTCTTATATTCTCTGTTACAGGAAGTCATCTCTTCTGCAAAGTTCCAGCAGCTCCGCCAAAATCTTCTACGATCCCGACCCTGATGATGACCTGGATGATGAGGATCCAGATGATGATCTGGATGTGTGACCCGACCCCGGTGATGACCTGGACGCTTGATCCCGACCCCGGTGATGACCTGGATGATGAGGATCCAGATGATGTCCTGGATGTGTGATCTCATCCCCGGTGATGACACCACTATATATATTGTGTAAATAAAATGAGTCTCGGTTGTCAGAGGTGTTCTGGGATTTTGTGGTCATTGTATAGATTTCCTATTGCAGTACAAATATAATTGTTCAGTGGAAGGCGATATATCCGAGAGGGAGGTTGAGCCAACATTGGTGCGCCAGAATATCTGCTGGTCCTCAAATGACCTGAACATCCTCATGGAATCCTCCATATAGAAGTCTACAATAAGCTGGCCAGCCACAGAGACCCGCCGGCCACAGAGACCCGCCGGCCACAGAGACCCGCCGGCCACAGAGACCCGCCGGCCACAGAGACCCGCCGGCCACAGAGACCCGGCGGCCACAGAGACCCGCCGGCCACAGAGACCTGCCAGAATCAGAGACCCGCCAGCCACAGATTGAACAGATCGTTCGTATTCCAATGAAAGGACTCCACCATACAATCTTCATTCTATATCCTAGAGAACTCGGTGTGATGGCTCCAGCTATTTGTTCTCTCCCCAACCTCAGGTTCTCTCCTTTCTTCGTCATGGTCATAGTTTCCTCAGGTAGAGGCGGGGCTGGACTTAGACTTTTGGGTTTGGTTGGTGCCTCATACACAGGAACCACAATACACAGAAAATCACCAGGCTGGCCTGTAGGGCTACTTTGTGGTTTTGGTTCCTGGCATCCATTTCTATCTCTTCATACTTGTCCAGAGAATAAATGAGGTCCTCCACTTCCTTCAGGTCGCCTTCAACTCTTTCTGTAGCTTCATTTGTGCCGTTCAAGAGTTAAGTTCCAGTTCTTGGCCATCAGAGCAGTTTGAGGACCGTCTTCCATCCTGTCCACCAATGTCTGAGCTTCATATCTCCCTCCAGGTGTCACTTTCCGTATCTCTGAGGACATTTTGTGTAGAGTTGTATCTATGAGGTCTTCGGTAGTATCGGCTCTCTCTGGCCATTGGGGGGTCAGGGACTTCACAGTCACTTTTCATTCAGATACCTCCAGGCCCAGTGTGAAGTTCAGGGGTCATAGCTACTGTGGTGGTGCTCCAGAATCACCTGCAAAGACGTTTCCAACAAACAGGAAAGTCTTTATTCTTCCATGAGGTGCACAAAGCAACACTTTCTGCGGCAAACCGGCTGAACTCCGGCAAACCAGCTGAACGCCAACAAACCGGCTGAACTCCGGCAAACCGGCTGAACTCCGGCAAACCAGCTGAATGCCAACAAACCGGCTGAACTCCGGAAAACCAGCTGAACGCCAACAAACCGGCTGAACTCCTGCAAACCAGCTGAACGCCAACAAACCAGCTGAACGCCAACAAACCAGCTGAACGCTGACAAACCGGCTGAACTCCGGCAAACCGGCTGAATGCTGGCAAACCGGCTGAATGCTGGCAAACCGGCTGAACGCCAGCAAATCAGCTGAACGCCAACAAACCAGCTGAACGCCGGCAAACCGGCTGAACTCCGGCAAACCGGCTGAACTCCGGCAAACCGGCTGAATGCTGGCAAACCGGCTGAACTCCGGCAAACCAGCTGAACGCCAGCAAATCAGCTGAACGCCAACAAACCAGCTGAACGCCGGCAAACCGGCTGAACTCCGGCAAACCGGCTGAATGCTGGCAAACCGGCTGAACTCTGAACTCTGGCAAACCGGCTGAATGCTGGCAAACCGGCTGAACTCCGGCAAACCGGCTGAATGCTGGCAAACCGGCTGAACTCAGGCAAACCAGCTGAACGCCAGCAAATCAGCTGAACGCCAACAAACCAGCTGAACGCCGGCAAACCGGCTGAACTCCGGCAAACCGGCTGAATGCTGGCAAACCGGCTGAACTCCGGCAAACCGGCTGAACTCCGGCAAACCGGCTGAATGCTGCTGAAACCGGCTGAACTCCGGCAAACCAGCTGAACGCCAGCAAATCAGCTGAACGCCAACAAACCAGCTGAACGCCGGCAAACTGGCTGAACTCCGGCAAACTGGCTGAACTCCGGCAAACCGGCTGAACTCCGGCAAACCGGCTGAACTCCGGCAAACCGGCTGAATGCTGGCAAACCGGCTGAACTCCGGCAAACCGGCTGAACTCCGGCAAACCGGCTGGCTGAATGCTGGCAAACCGGCTGAACTCCGGCAAACCAGCTGAACGCCAGCAAATCAGCTGAACGCCAACAAACCAGCTGAACGCCGGCAAACCGGCTGAACTCCGGCAAACCGGCTGAACTCCGGCAAACCGGCTGAATGCTGGCAAACCGGCTGAACTCCGGCAAACCGGCTGAACGCGGGCAAGTCGGCTGAACTCCGGCAAACCGGCTGAACGCGGGCAAATCAGCTGAACGCCGGCTAATGAGAAATCAAAAGCCGACATCTTCAGCAAAAAGTAACCATACCGGTGTAAGAGCCACATGGGTGTTTTACCTGAAGACAGTAAAGGCCAGACTGAGCCTTCTTGGCAGCTTCCAGCGAACAGGCAGAACTGCACACAGGTGTCACCTCTCCAAGCTCCTTACTGCTCCACAGCTGAGTCCCCGTAATCGGGGTGAAGGTTCTCTCCCAACCAAATATCTCTCTGTACCCCCAAATTCCAGGTCCCAAATACATTAATGCACTAATGCAGCGAGGACTGTCAGTCTCTGGTGGGGCTATCCCGGAACCCCTAACCCTACCTGGGTGAGAACACCAACGGCAGACCAATCCTCCCCCTTAAAGGGACCTCAACCTAAATATGGGCAAAACACAGCGCCAGTCCAGGGACCATCCTCAGCATCCTGTACACCAACTAGTCCAGGGTTGTCCTGCCATTCATCTCTCCCTGTGACGTCACCAGGGGCCCGTCTTCTTGTTCTGGGTTCAGGCAACCGGCCCCTGAGGACGACACACGCCAGGCCCGTCCACTGGCTGCTGCAAGTCCTTGTACGTGCATCTCTAGAAATACAGAACATTCCTAAAGTATTCAGACCCCTTGACTTTTCTCTGTAGTTCTGTTTCAGGCTGATATTTATCTGCATTCACCACCTAATAGTGACAACAGGATTTTAGAAATGTCTGTAAATTTATGACAAAAAAAGCTGAGATCTCACATTAGCAGAAGTATTCAGACCCTTTACTCTGGACTTTGTTGAAGCCCCTCTGGCCCAATTCCAGCCTGGAGTCTTTTTGGGGATGACACCACAGGCTTTGCAGCCCCGGATTGGAGGATTTTCTGCCATTCTTTGCTCAGGTTGGATGAGGGTCTTCCGTGGATGTCCATTTTCAGGTCTCTCCAGAGATGTTCAGTAGGGTTGAAGTCAAGGCTCTGGCTGGGCCCCTCCAGGACATTCGCAGAGTTGTCCCTCAGCCCCTCCTGTGGTGTCTTGGCTGTGTGCTTAGGATGGTTGTCATGGTTGTCAGGTGAACCTTCGGCCCAGTCTGGGGTCCTGAGCTCTGTGGAGCAGATTTTCATTGAGGATGTCTCTGTACTTTGCTCCATTCAGCTTTCCCTCAACCCTGGCCAGTCTTTCAGTCCCACCGCTACAGTGTGATGCTGCCACCACCATGCTTCACTGTTGGGATGGCATTGGAAAGGTGATGAGCGGAGCCGGATTCTTCCAGGGATAACATTTAGAATTGAGTCCAAACCGTTCAATCTTGGTTTCATCGGTCCAGAAAACCTTGTGTCCGGGAATCCTTCATGTCTTTCTTTTATTTTTGCAAACACCAAGCGGGGTTCCATGCCACACGGAAGAAAAATATATTGTAAAAATATTCTCAAATATATTGACATATATTTGGAATACTACAATTTTGGCCGCATTCAATATAAATATATATACTGTATATATATTTACGGAAATTACCTCTGGCCATCCGGTCCAGCAGTTCGTCTATCCGGGGCATGGGGTATGCATCCGTAACGGTCCGGTCATTGAGCCTCCGGTAGTCCACACAGAACTGGACGGTTCCGTCCTTCTTGGGTACCAGGACTACTGGGGAGGCCCAGGAACTGTCAGAGGGTTCTATCACACCTAAATCTAACATTTCCTTAATTTTTCTTCTCATCCCTTCTCTGATGGACTCGGGCACTCGGTAGGCCGCCTGCTTCAGGGGGGCCTGACCCTGCGTGTCTACCCGGTGGGCAGTTGTGGTGTAACCGGGTAGAGACGACAACAGCCCTCGGCGCTCTTGGAGCAGTTGGCGGGCCTGTTCTTGCACCTTGGGAGGCAGCCGTGTGCTGATATCTACATCCACTACACTCAGCTGGGACTGTCCGTCCCCCGGCAGCCCCGGCAGAAGAAGCGTTTCTGAGTCATCGGTAGCCGGAGCACAAATAGCAGCTACACTCTCCTCCTGTCGTTTGAACGGTTTCAGCATATTCACATGGAAGGTTCGCCGGATCCTTCCATCTGAACAGCGAGCTACAATGTATGTGGTATCACAGAGTTGTTCCACTACTTGGTACGGGCCCTGCCAGGCAGCCTGACTGGTTTCAAGACCAACACTTTCTGTTCTAAGTGAAGCATTTTGTCTCGGGCAGACGGGTCGTACCATCGTTTCTGTCGGCTCTGGGTGGTCTCAAGGTTGTCCTGTACTAGGGTCGTCAACTGTTGTAGTCTCTCCCTGAGCTCCAGCACATAGGCCACCATCAAGGTCCCCTCCTCGGCCACTGCTCCCTCCCAGTGTTCGCGTAGGAGATCCAGGGGTCCCTGAACCCTCCGGCCATACAGCAGCTCGAAGGGAGAGAACCCAGTGGACTCCTGCGGTACCTCTCGGTAGGTGAACAGGAGGTGGGGAAGATGCCGCTCCCAGTCCTTATGGGACATGGTGAACGTTCAGAGGAGCTGTTTCAGCGTACCATTAAACCGTTCGCAGAGCCCATTGGTCTGGGGGTGGTAGGGAGAGCTGTACAGCGGTCTGATCCCACACAACTTCCAAAGT